AGAGAGAGAGAGAGAGAGAGAGAGAGAGAGAGAAAGAATGAAAGAAAGAGAACTATTTATCCATCTATCTCACCAGACTCGAGATAACCGACGATCATCCTATCGTAGTACTCAGTCAGTTGACTAGTGACCTGCAAGTACCGGTAGATGTACAAATCTGGAGCGAACTTGACAATGCTCTGCTCTCCACAGCCAGTGGGCAGGGCCAGGAGTGAGTCCAGGTTGTCCAGACTGGAGCCAAGCAAGTCACCTGAAGGAATTTTAGTTTAATTTAGTTTTAGTAAGCGTTTTACAGCACTTGCAACACAATTTGGTCATATAACTGTCGATGATTAGAGGTGCTACAAGAGAGTAGCAAACACAAAAAAGAAGGAGAGATAAGGACGATAGATGTGTGACAGGAAAGTAGGAGAATACCACACAAGATCACCCGCCAAGCACCCACTTTGAATTTTCACTATCAGCTATCTTACCGTCACACAAGGTAATGATTTGTGAACTATTGACATTGTATATTTACCCTACGAAACGATTACTGCATATTGCAGGACATAAATCCAGGTAGAGTTACGTTTTAAGAGTTTCTGCATTGGTGAACTCTTGTTTCGTTTATGATGCACGCTTCGTTTTGGTGCACCCTTTGTTTATCTTGCACATTTAGTTTCAATGCATCCTAGGTTGGTGTTCCCTTTGTTTGTTTTTTCACACCCTTTGGTTTGGTGCACTATTAGTTTTGATGCATCCCTTTTTTCCGAAAGTTGTTAAGAAACACGGGGTTATGACCAATAAGCAAAGACTGATCTGCACCAAGCCATTACTATACCTGTGGCCTTGACCCTCGCAGTTTCTGACCCCTGAACGACAGATGGGGGAAGGGGGAGGTCGATGACGTTCTTGAAAGGTTTGCGGCCTTTGTTGTTGATGAAGACTGGGTAGTTGAAACTGACGGGGGCTCCCTCAGCCTGGAATAGATAGATAGATAGATAGATAGATAGATAGATAGATAGATAGATAGATAGATGGATAGATAGATAGATAGATAGATAGATAGAGAGATAGATAGGTAGATAGATAGATAGATAGATAGATAGATAGATAGATAGAGAGAGAGAGAGAGAAGACACAATGACAAGGTGACAAAATTACAGGGTGACAAATAACAAAATAACAGAATGATAGATAGATAGATAAATAGATAGATAGATAGATAGATAGATAGATAGATAGATAGATAGATAGATAGATAGACAGATAGATAGATAGATAGATAGATAGATAGATAGATAGATACTACTCGAAAGTAGCAACTGTACCTGAACATAAATCTGTCTGCGGACAGCGTCAGCGGCGTTGTTAGACTGGGCCGCAACCTCAACGTTCGCCACACCAATCTCTGTCGCCAGGACGGGGAAATAGACCACACCCTGTCCCTCCGACCTGACCTGAGAGATGGAATTGAGAATTGATTGACGTGTTGACTGATGGAAGGAGAGATGGATTGATAGCACTAACAAAATAACCACATTATGACAAAGTGACAGATGATGAGGTGTCAAAGTGACAAAAATGACAGTATGACAAGATCATAAAATGACGAGATGCTAAATTGACAATAATATTATTATGATTATGAAAGGGCAAAATTAATAAAGTGACAAAATGAACAAGCGACTAGACGACAAAATGGTAACATAACAGGCGACAAAGTGGCAAAATAGCAAGGCACGACGAGTTAAGTGTAGTATTTGCAACAAAATTTATAGTCTTGTAATTGCTGTTCATTAGAAGAGTTACAAAAGAGTAACAAACACAAAAAAGGTGAAAAGAGATAAACACGATAGGTATTTGATAGGGAAGAAGGAGAAAATCACACCAGAGTACCCGACAATCATCCACAAATGACAAGATGACAAGACTCTTAGATAACAAAGTGACAAAATGATGAAAAGACAAAATGACATAAATTACGAAATGAATGGTGAGACGACATGATGACAAATTGCCAATAATGACACAATGCCAAGATTACAGACGAGAAGAGGACAAAACGGTCCCCTAACTGACCCTGACTCTCTGAACGATGTCTGTTGTGGACTGGACCTCTGTGCCGTCCTCCAACACTTTGATGCTCTCGAAGTTCTCGGAACTCTTCAACGTCACAGTCACCTGAGAGGGAGAAGAGATTTTAAGATGGAGGCGTTTTCACGTTGACTCAATTTAGATCATTTAGAAGGCGGGCTCTCTACCCTCCTGCCTGCCAGGGCCAACCCGGGCAGGGAGAGATACATCATTCAAAGCAGAAACATCATTATACTCGATAGATGTTTTCCCCACTCGGGAATCGAACTTGGGTCTTCTTCGGGAGACAGCCAACCGCTACACCACACACACTGGTGAGGAGAAGAGGAATAAAAAACCCTGTTCATGATGACGTCATGATGGTGACTTTTGAGAGAGGAAGAAAACATGACGTTCGTGATGACATCTTTACAGTCATTATGGTGACTTGTAGGGTAAACGAAACCTTCGTGTTGACGTCATTATGGTGACCTGTCTAGCAAAACTCTAAAAATGAATTTATTTTTAAAAAAATCTTTTTATTATCCCTTAGTCGTAAATGGCTGTTCTGACATCAAGGATTATCGGGCAATTACCTTTCTCCACCCTTCTCTATTTTCCAGCCTTTCGAAGGGCTTTACCCAACCTTAAGCTTGTCCATTCCCTAATGTTATCTTTCCATCTCTCTTTCTGTCTGCCTTTCTTTCTCCCTCCTTGTAGTCACCTGAAAGATCATCAATGCAACTCCTGTTAACCTTGTTATGTGCCCATACCATCTCAATTTGTGTTTTTCACAGCGGTGATAAGATCTTCACTCTCAATTTCTCATTTGTAACATGATCTCTGGTGGAAATGCCCAACAGGGACTTCATTACGATCGCTTTTAGGAAAAGCAAAAGGTTCATGGTGACATCATTATGGTTACTTGTAGGGGAAATGAAACGTAATGATAACGCCATCCTGGTCACCGGTCATACCTACTCCCTCCCTCCTCAATCCCCATGTTGACCTCATGGAAGGTGAAGAATTACATTTTTACCTCTCAACCGCCCCACCCCCACCCCCATCCAGAAAAAAATAACAGTAAAAAAACAACCCACAACCAGAACCCACTCAGCATCTCAAACAAAAGAACAAACCAATAACATCAACCTATCAAAGGAATGTCAAAAAGAAAAAGAAAACAAAACAACAACAATAATAATAATAATAACAACAACAACAACAACAACAACAACAGC